CCGAAACGCATTACTGCTTCACGGCAGAAATAGGCAGGGTGGTGGTACCCACCCGCGCGGACTCACAAAAGGTCCTACCACCAGTAAGATCATGAATTTTTTTTAAATTACCCTCATTGATTAGAATATGAAATAAAGCTTACAATTTCCATACTTGACTATGAAAATTACTTTCACGAATTCATGTCTGCAACTGTGTTGTGCACAATTTTAGAAAGAGAGCATTCTATTCGACTTTAAAACATTTAATCTTATTCGTGGAACTACGAATTGTGAATTAATTATAATTAGCTTAGACGCTGCTTAATTCTAAGCCGTCTAATGGCAACTGTCGTCTTTGGCTCGCTACAGTACTTGTTGAAATGTAAATTGAACTTCATTTTTAATTAAGAATGTGTCTATCAAAGAACTTTTGAAAGTGGTATCTATGTAAAAGAAAACTAATAGTGGTAGAAGATTTGTATGAGAACTTAATATTTTCAAAAATGATTTTATCAGTATAGGCGATACGAAATGTCGGCTCACCTGACGTTACTTTATTATAAAAGTACCAGTGCCGTCCAACTTTAGAAAAGACGTTAAAGGAAATTGAGTTTTTGTAAGAGTTGCTTTTCCAGCGTTCGAATCGAACGCATGGGTGCTTCGTAAAAGAAATAGGTTGTATCAAGTCTTGCTAACTTATAACACACCCTATGACCTGTGAAACCAGAACTATTTTTGAATTAGTCATGTTTACAAAAAAAATACAGCTTAGAGTGTGTTAATATAGTGAAATGAATGACGTATTAAGACACAATTAATACATCTCTATATACATAGTCCGGCCATAAATACTGTTACAATAAAAAATTTTAAAAATTTCTATTGCAAATAACATTTATTACTTTTACAGTGTGTTACTTTAATAAATAAATATAAAACAATTTAAAGTATAAAAAGCTTATTCGAAGTGGTCTCCATCGGCTGCGATACAGTCCTTTAAACGTTGAGGCCAGTTATCAATAGAAGCACGCACTCTTTCCATGGGAAAATTTTTCACTGCCAATCGTACTGATTGTTTTAGGGATTCCAAATTATTATGGCGTTTAGAGCAAGTCGTACTCTCTAAAACTGACCATAAATCATAATCCAGCGGGTTAAGATCGGGACTAGACGACGGCCAGTCTTCAGCTCTGATAAAGTCCGAAACGTTCGTTTCCAACCAAGACTGCGTAGACCGAGCTTTATGATCTGGCGCCGAGTCTTGCTGGAAGGACCATTCTTGATTATTGAACATGGTGTTGTTGAGGAGCTTCACTACCTTCTCAAGAATGGTATCTTGATACGATTTTTTGATACATTTTTCACAAAAGTATGGCTCAGTCATTCCTTCATAGCTAATACCTCACCAAACCATCACTGAAGTCGAATAGTGCCCACGTTGCACTCTGTCGACTAATTGGGAAGCTTCCTTAGAGCTTTGAGCATAAATTCGGTCATTTTGTTTGTTAAAATGTTGCTCAATTGTAAAAAAATTCTCATCCGTAAACAACATTTTTTATGACCTCCCTTTGCGTACCGCTTCAGTAATAGTTTCGATTTTACCACCCTATTCTCTTTTAAATTATCAGTTAAGAAATGACCAGTACGTCTCTTATAGACTGCAAGTTCTAAGTCATCTTTTAAAATACGCGACATGGTTCTAGGCGCTATCTTCATCTCCCGAGATAAAATCATTTGCTTTCGGACAGGATTTCTTCGAATTCTTTCCCTTACTGCTTTGACCACCTTTTTCGTACGAACACTACCTGTACGGCCAGATTTTTTGTCTGTCACAAGCAGAGTAGGTTATTACCTATATACTATATACCTATTAATAGCCCGGTACACAAACATTTTACTAATACCAAGCGTCCGAGCAATCATATAAAAATGACAGATTCCAAATTCAAATGTAATATTTTGTTTATTTTTAATTGTAACAGTATTTATCGCCAGACTAAGTATGTATAAAAATTAATTGCTGTTCGTTAGTCTCGCTAAAACCCGAGAATGGCTGGACCGATTTGGCAAATTTTGGTCTTGAACTATTTGTAGAGGTCCAGAGAGAGTTTAAAAGGTAGATAAATATGAAAATACTCGGAATTAAATAAAAATAACAATTTTGTTTTTCCTTTGATGTGTCCCCCGTCGGACGAATTTCTCTGGTTTGTTTTAAGTTTATTGTATACAAAAGCATAGGTCTTTCATTTATTGATTAAGACACTACAATGTCTGCCGGGTCAGCTAGTATATATATAAATTAGGATGTAAATGAACTCCAGTTAATACAAGATAGGCAATGAGATTGTAAACTCAACTAGAGCAATAAATAAAACATTTTCAAAACAATTAATTTCATTTACACGTGAAAAAAGTCTTAAAATACTGCATTCCCAATAAGTTCCATTGCAAAATGAATGCTTTGAGCGTTTCAAGGAAAATTAATTTTAATTTTGCAAAGTAAAATGAACAACCAGTAACGCCTACACGGTAAAAAAGCAGGGTTACATTATTTCGAAATAAGAAACTCTTCCTGCAGTTAATATTTTATAATTAAAAAGGATTCTGAATTTTGCATTTCATTACGACATGAAGTCAACGGTCAAATTAAATCAGAATAAAAGTCCGTGATAATATCAGATTCTATCTTTGCACGTTCGATGAAATCCCAGCAATACGAGAACGCAAATAAAGTAAGTCCTCGACATTCCGACTTCCGTTTGAAGGATATTTCTTCGATTTCAGATATAGGAATAGGATAGGACGTAGGAATTTCAATACGGATGACATAGAAATTTCATATCAATATTATTGGTCGCATATTCTTTTTCTTGAAAATCGTAGGAGCCGTTTCCGAGATTCAGATTATATATACCTAGTCAGGTCATAAATTCTGTCACCTGTTTAATGTAAAATAATTGAAACAAGTTTATTCATTATGTAACCATTCATATACCAAAATGAACTTAACAAAATATAGATTCTTATGACACTAAAGTTTATTCAAAATGACCTCCGTGATTTTGAATACAGGCCTTCAATCTGCGCGGCCAGTCGTCTATTGCAGCACGAACGAGGTCCATGTCAATATCGGCGGCTGTCTTAATCAAGGATGTCTTGAGTGACTCCAAATTGGGATGAGGCTTTGAGCACGCCTTTTCCTCCAAGTGTTGCCATATCTTGTAATCTAACGGATTCAAATCTGGACTGGAGGAGGGCCAGTCTTCGTGCCGGATGAAGTCGATTTCACGCGCCGCCAGCCAGTCTTGTGTGCTCTTCGCTCTATGAGCTGGCGCCGAATCTTGTTGGAATACCCAGTGCCTGTTATTGAACATGGTATGAGAAACAGGTTCCACAAGGTTCGTCAGGACTGTATTTTGATACACAACTGCATTCGTTTTTACACCTTTCTCACAAAAATGTACCTCTGTTAAGCCCCAATAAGAAACTCCCAACCATACCATGAGCGAGGATGGAAAATGACCTCGTTGGACACGCGGAATACGGTTGCTCGCTTCTTCACTACTGTGTGCGTACACCTTATCATTTTGTTTGTTGTAGCTCTCTTCTACGGTAAAAATTTTTTCATCCGAAAAAAGAATTTCCCGATATTTTTTTCCCGCGTACCGCTTCAACAAAGCGCGGCATCTCTTCAGTCTCAGGTCCATTAGACGAGCATTCAAACGATGTCCTGTTTTTCTTCGATATGCCCGAAGCCCTAAGTCTTCATTTAACACCCTTTTCACCGTGGTTCTGCTTAACCCCATCTGAAGGGCCAACAGTTTCTGCTTACGTTTGGGATTTCTTTGAATTCGCGCCTTCACAGCTTTTATCACTGCTGGAGTCCTAACAGACCGAGGGCGACCACTTCTTGACCTGTCATCTACACTAGAGTCTTCATTGTATCGTTTGATGGTACGATAAACGAATCTTTTGGTTATATTCAAATTTTTCAGTATGTTAAAAATTTGAATTGGCGCGTAACCGCAACGATGCAACGCAATAACTGCAACACGGTCTTCTTTAAGCGTCCACTCCATATTTAAAAATGAGTAAAATTCTAAAAGTATACATTTTTATTTTCATGAACAATTCGAAATTCGAATTCAATAAACTTTTTTGTGGCCAGCATTCTAAAAGAAAAGTTTTTACTGTGTGACAATACTTATGACCTGACTAGTTATAATAATATACAAGAATTGCTCGTTTAAAGGTATAAGATAAATACCTCGTTATCGTCCTATTCGTTCCGTAACACGCTAGGCTGATCATAGCATGACATAAAGGTCGTAGATATATTTCAGATAAGCATCCTGCAAATTGGAATGCAATTGAAATGTGATACAAAATACATATTCTCTAAAGCATTTCTCTGAAAGCGGATGGATGGCACGATATTCCTTTGAAATTTGAATAAATGTTTGTTTCTCTACTGCTTGACAATGTTTTTTGTTAAGCTAGAATCAATAGAAAATTCAATGAACTAGTAGACCCGCAGTAGTCGAAATTCGACTTTAATCAATTGAAATTCTATGTTTAAACATTATTATGGTTCTGTTGTCAAATACTATTATATACTTATATACTATAATCACAGATTTTGCCAAAACTTACACTATAGATAGATAACATTAAAGACAAACAATATTCATCTATTCGGAATTTGACCACAGACTTTAAACATTAACAAAAGTTTGACAATTGATAATAAACAAAGAGTATAATTATATGTATGTGTGTGTGTCAAATATATGGTAGTGTGTGTAATGTTTTCTTTATTGATTTAATGTATCTTTTATGCATTATTTAAAAAAAATATTAGCATTGTGCACTCCTTCTCTATATTCTTTATAAGTATGGAAAATTTCATACTCCACAGTCCGCGCAAATTTCGTAAAAAGGGACACAAAGTTTTTGCTTCACGTATTAATATATAGATGAATAAAGTAAATTAGTGAATATATTTTTCTGTTGTTCAGATCGGGACTAGTGCCTGCGCCAGGGCTCTGAGTGCGTGTTTCGACTCTCTCTTCAACGGAGCTATCTCCCACCATCTCGCTCTCAACATCGGAACTATCTTTGGTAAGTTATATCATTATAGTTTTCAAATTAGTTACGAATAAAAAAACCTCAGTATTATGGTCTTCAAACATCTAATACAATTTTATGAATATCTGAAAATGGTGCTCATTTCAAGTTTTTAGTGTTGTGTGAAACAAGTTTTTCACTTCAAATCTAAAACTAATCCGGTTGAAGGAGATTTCGTGTTTAATATCGTTGGTAACTTGATAAAATATTACCAACTGAAGTAGAAACGAAATGATAAAATAAACTAAGAATGACAAATAGGGTTTATAAGCTCTTTGAGATGAAATAGCTTTGTAAACTATCTGCATTTTAGTGCATCATTTAACATTAAGTATACTAGCTTACCCGAAAAATGCTGTCCTGACCGAATTTCAACAAAAACGACCTTTTTATTAAACTCAATTTTCGGAGTGGCATCCAAAACTTTGCTTCTATAAAAATCTTCTTCGATCTTCACTACATAGTATAAAAATCTTTAAAACTACGCAACAGATTTTGATGCGGTTTTTTAATAGATAGAGTGATTGAAGAGGAAGGTTTATATGTATAATAACATCCATTAAATAGTGGAGAAATCAATAATAAATTACAGTTTCCGAAGCGAAGCGAGGGCGGGTCGCTAGTAATGTATAAGAAACCTTTAATACAAAGTATCTGATTTGGTTAGGTTTTTCAAAATAATGCACTGACTAATTAACGGTATTGAATCTTTAATATTAATTAATTAATTTATTGTTAATGGTGAATCGGCGAATAAGCTCATCTTCTTACGAAACATTGTCTACGGGTTATGGTACCTGCTTTACACTGAACGCGAACACTGAACACGAATGCAGCCCTTTTGGGACTTTTTAGTCGCTTCTCTCGGTTGATTGCGTGCCTCAATGGCTTGGGAAGAGCTGCGCATAATATACTGGAACCCCGACTGGGTAAACCCCCAAAAGAAAAAAACCACTTCCTTTGGCCCAGGCGAATAGCCCGCAGGGTGTGCTACTGGATGAGATCAAGCTAAGACCTCAGGAGAGGTTCGGAAGTCTGAACTACTTCATGTACCGACGTGAGGGGTCTACTCTGCAAGGCACCCGTTGCGCCCGCTGCGGCGCGCATCAGGCGGAATGTGGTACATCACTAATTGCAATTGTTGACTTTGACATCGACGAGGTCGGCCCGTGTGAGGATCCACATCCGGGGGTATATAAAGATTTATACCACGTATCGACCCCCGGGTTCCAAGAGCTCTCTAGAGGACATTCGAAGAATTCTGGATTAAGATAGCCACCCAAAGTAACGTGCGTTCGGTCGGTAGGTACCGCTTTCCTACCGGTTTCCGTTTGTATCTATCTTAGCTTGAGGATAATAAGTATAAACTAATATGAATAATAACAATACTAATAAATACAATATGAATAATAACGCAAGTGAAAGTCAGCAATCTACCTATGCTTCAATAAAATGTTTATTTTTCATACATAACGTTGTGAAAATACCTAAATAAATATTTCAATATTTCAATAAAACAAAGCTGGCAAAGTGTATTGTTGCCGAGTTTAACATTAATTTTCGTTGTTGCGTCGAGAATAATATGGCTGGCTGCTTGTTAGGTCTCTCGTTGAAGTGTATTTCGTCGAGGAAACAGTATCAAATGAAAACGGTAATAGAAAATCATTTTAAAAGAATTCTATCTTCTACTGAATTTTCATTTCCTTATAAAATATATCTACAAAACTCAAAGAGCTGCACGTTATTTCGCTGTAGTCGGAGGAAGTTGGACCGAACCTATTTGACCTGAAGTAGATGCAACCTAACTTTAAGACTCGTGACTTATTCAATATTAAGTTATTGCGGTTGAATTTCCAACTCGGAAGCACCACTACAAAGAATTTTATTGACTTACGTTTCAGTTAGTTACTTTTATGAGTTTAGAATTTTAGATGAAGCAGAAACATTATTCGAACAGTACTTAAACGTAAAACACTGGTGGTAGGACCTCTTGTGAGTCCGCACGGGTAGGTACCACCGCTACGCCTATTTCTGCCGTGAAGCAGTAATGCGTTTCGGTTTGAAGGGTGGGGCAGCCGTTGTAACTATACTGAGACCTTAGAACTTATATCTCAAGGTGTGTGGCGCATTTACATTGTAGATGTCTATGGGTTCTAGTAACCACTTAATACCAGGTGGGCTGTGAACTCGTCCACACACCTAGGCATTAAAAAAAAAAAATAATTTTGGAACAAAATAAGAGTGTAGCAGGCACATCACTTCTTTCTGAGTTCTTCATATTCACCGCTTACAATACGTCCATAGATTACAAAAAAAACAAAAGCTATATAGTCAAATTTCCAGTTTAGAACTTCAAACTTCCCTTCCGTAAATAATGCTAATACCTATAGCACCAATATGCTGCTAACGATAAAATGTTGACACTAAATTTACATACTTATTAATGTACTCATTGATTTATTGATGTAATGTAGTGTAAAAACCTAAAACCGAAATAATGTTGTTTCAGTATAGGCTACTTTGTTTTAAATAAAATAAAATTTTATTTTTTATTGCTTAGATGTGTGGACGAGCTCACAGCCCACCTGGTGTTAAGTGGTTACTAGAGCCCATAGACACCTACAACGTAAATGCGCCACACACCTTGAGATATAATTCTAAGGTCTCAGTATAGTCACAATCAAACCGAAACGCATTACTGCTTCACGGCAAAAATAGGCGGGGCGGTGGTACCTACCCGTGCGGACTCACAAGAGGTCCTACCACCAGTAATTACGCAAATTATAATTTTGCGGGTTTGATTTTTATTGCACGATGTTATTCCTTCACCGTTTCACCTTTGCTGAGTAGGGGAGCGAGGGGCTTGTTGTAACAGGGGTAAGTAGTAACAGGCCCTTTTCACTAGGATCTTAAACTATATTAGCGTATTTCTTTGACTCGATTTGACCTATAAACCGCACTGCATCATGTTGCCATAGCCAACGTCCCGCCGGCCAGCGCAATGAGCGAAAATATACATGCACTTCATTTTTGCCCGGTAATATAAAATTGTACTGTCGTAAAATTTTGGTTTGCGTTATTATTATCGCCTAATTTCAAACTTTCTATATCTTATTTACATTCAAATTTATCTATCTCTGATAATGTGTAACAGTTTTTAAGATCGCTACATTGTTTAAATAGTTATCTTGATAAACGTTAAAAATCATACCATGGGGTTAGTTGTAACAAAATCCCGGGGCTTGTTGTAACGTGTTACAACAGTCTACAAAAAACTTTTTCGCCATCGAAGATTATACCTATACGAAAGGCGATACCAAGAAAAACTAATACAAATAGCAGACGCAAAATATGAGGAAAAGATAAAGAAAAAATAGAAAAAAGATATCAATATTAAAGAGAAAGGTAAAGGAAAGGGGAAGGGAAAAGGCAAAGGTAAATCAACAAAATCTGAATCAGAAGAGTGGTATTGTCTGGTATGTGGTGAAGCTTACACAGATTCAAATAAAGAAGATGGGGTCGAGTGAATCGTTTTTTAAGATGTGGGTACTTGTAGGATGTGTTACAGGAGACACTTTATTTTTTATTTATTAAATATTAATTGTAGCTCAGATGAAGACTGTATTCAATCATAATAAAACCCACAAAATGTTAATTCTTATATAAGTGCAATACTTTGTTAGATACATATTAATAATTTAATTATGTACTTACTGTAATTTAAAAGCGCCATGATGATTCTAAGTAGTGTTTAACTAAATAAAACTGTTAATTACTTAATTTTTAGGCTTAAAAAGTTTGATTTTTGATAACAATTACAAAATACCTACTTTAGAAAGATGTCAATTTTGTAAAAAATAAACTAAGAATTGTCGTTACTACTTGCCCCGGTAGACGTTACAACTTACCCCAAACACGAGGTAAGTTGTAACACCGCACTTCTTCTAGAAAAAAATTGATTGTAAAATAATGACCAATAGTTATGTTATTATTTTTACTTGATTTGGTAGAGGAAGAGTTACAGCATCCATCCGTTTTTATTTAGTAGCAATTTAATCAATAAATCTCAAGATATATTCGTTTTCATGAAAACTGTTACAACAAGCCCCTCGCTCCCCTACGTATTTCATTAGAAAAATTGGTACCCGCCAGCGGGATTCGAACACCGGTGCATCGCTCGATACGAATGCACCGGACGTCTTATCCTTTAGGCCACGACGACTTCAATTTCAATATTATTTATGTTTCTTAACGCTTTGGTTCGTTCCCATTTTCAACATAAAATAGTAGTGGGTTCCGAATTCTCGGCTGTTGCTCGGCAACTGTAACTTGATCAGGTGGAACAGGTTCGCGTCTTCAATGATAATAATCTCAATAGTAAGTTGATACCGTCGATAGGTTGCTAACAGAAATACAGACGATCAAAGAAGAAGCAGATAAACTCCGACTACCATCTATTCTTCACAGAGACACCGATTGGACGGGGAATCTAACGCGCAGTCAGAATTCGCTACACGATTTCAAAATACATTAATATTAACTGACAATATATTTTTATAAGCACGTTTGTGAAAATTCCGTAACATTAAAGATAAACTGGACAGTTGAAAATAAACTAGCTTATATCGGCACACAATATTATCCAACGAATTTTTCGCTAAGGTCTTTCGTGTAGAGTCTTATACTATTTTTTTTTTGCTTTGATGGGTGGACTAGCTCACAGCCCACCTGGTGTTAAGTGGTTCCTGGAGTCTATAGACATCTACAACGTAAATGCGCCACCCACCTTGAGATATAAGTTCTAAGGTCTCAGTATAGTTACAACGGCTGCCCCATCCTTCAAACCGAAACGCATTACTGCTTCACGGCAGAAATAGACAGGGTGGTGGTACCTACCCGTGCGGACTCAAAAGAGGTCCTACCACCCGTTGACCAGTAGTTTACATTGCTTGTGATTTCGGAATGTATGGTAAAGTACTTTATTCCGTTTCCGC